TGTATATTTTTCACGTCCAAGAACTATAATTACCAGCTAATACTATTTTATTAATTTATACTTCTTAAATAGAATGATTCTCATCAAACTCTTAAATGATCCCCCCCCCAGTGGCACAGCGGTATGTCTGCGGACTTACAACGCTAGAATCTGGGTTTCGATACCCGTGGTGGGCAGAGCACAGATAGCCCATTGTGTAGCTTTGTGCTTAACTTCAAATAAATGAAATGAAAATGAAAGTAATAACTCTACAAATCAGGATTCAGTCCTTGTAGTGGGTATAACACGGTTAGCTAATTGTGTAGTTTCGCGCTTAACAACAAAACAGAGCGTTTTTTAGAACAACTGTGGGGCTTGGTAAGTTTTAACATTCATTACTAAGCTTTATACAAAGTAATTTCAGACGTATTCGTGCATTTATAATTGCATATTTCGCAAAGAATTCTGAACATAAAATTCTACAGGGGATGTGTGTGTGTGTTTGAGTTACGTTAGGCATAACCATTCTAAAAATAGTGATGATACGTAAGTGTTCGTTAAAGTTTGTACGCACAGTTAGCTCCTAGCACAGTTGTATGACGTTTCTGTTCATTTGCATGTTCCATCATCGCACAGACTCGGTCATTTAATTAACTGAAACGTGAATGACATTTTTGGGATGGTCATGATGTCTAAGTTTTTTTGCCTTAAAGAAAGATTTGTTTGTTTGTTTTGGGTTTCGCGCAAAGCCACTCGAGCTAGCCGTTCCTAAATTAGCAGTGTAAGACTAGAGCAGGGATTCTCAAACTGTGGTACGCGTACAACTGGTGGTACGTGGAGCTAATGTAGGTGGTACACGACACAATTAATAAATCATAAAATTTGTAATAAGCCCTATCTGAGCTTTCCACATACATATACATACAACTCTCCTCACTTATACATTCATCCTTTACTTACATAGACTCGCCAGTATTTTCTTCCCTTATAATTGACAAAAATGCTACCATATATTCTACAATAGTGCCAGAAAAAACACTCGCATTAATGGATAAGTGTTTAAAATATTAATTTTTATTACTAGGCTTTATATCTTTTTAAAAATTAGGCTTGAGTTTGTAATTAAAAAACAACAAAAAATATGGTACGCGAGCCTGAAACGTTTGAAAACCTCTGAACTAGAAAGAAGGCAGCTAGTCAACACCAATCACCGCTAACTCTTCGGTTACTCTTTACGAAAGAATAGTGTGATTAAACGTGACATCATAACGTCCCCAAGGCTGAAAGGGCGAGCATGTTCAGTGATTGGATACAAACTTGCGACCTACAGATTACAAGTCGAGTGTCGTAACCACCGAGCTATGCCAGGCCCCTACAGAAGACAGAAATTTAGAACAGATCTCAGGAGTGTTCAAGGTAAAGCCACACCTTGTTCAAGGAGAACTTACACCCTGTTCAAGGAGAAGCCACACCCTGTTCAAGGAGAACTTACACTCTGTTCAAGGTAAAGCCACACCTTGTTCAAGAAGAAGTTATACCTTGTTCAAGGAGAACTACAATTTTTTTAAATCAACGGATACGTGTTACAAAAGAAAAGTAGTGGAAGGAATCAAAACCTCAGGACATATTAATAAACGTGATTAATTAACAACAAGAGTTATTGAAAGATGAACTTTGATGAACACAATATCATGAAAGGCCAGGATCATAAAAGTTTTTGGCGACAAATAGATAAAATACTGAGTTAGAAACAAACATCTTGGGAAGACTTGCTTTATGAAGGAGGTCTTATGTTTCTAAGAAAATGCAATGATATGTGGGGGAAAGGTGTTAACTAACGGAGAAATATTGCAAACAGAAACCTTCATGGAGGTCAGACAGGCGAAAGATGGTGTTAAAATGAAGGAATTAAATAAGCCAGGATGACAGTTTTTATTCAGTTGAAAGCATTGCAACAACTGGTGCAAGGATCGGACTCGGAATTAGAAATAAGAATAGAATCTTTCTCAGAATCAGGTAGCGTGTGAAAGACGGTTTGGATGTTTACAGTGGAACAACAAAGGGGACCAATTGTTCACACTATTTTTACTATATAATTCTGACAAAAATCATCGGATTTCGATTAAATTTGGTGGACATATGTAGAATATTATTCCTCATTGTCTTGCCAAAAACGGTCCGTGTATGTTTATAACGACAGACATAGGGACACCTTTTCGTGTTTTTTGAGAGTCGAATATGATCAACGCTGCACAGCGGAAGTATTCGCTCTACTGAGTGTCACTTTAGTTTTTAATGCACCAATTTTCGTGACCTTGCTGCGATCTTGACCCTCCAAAAACTAACCACTTCCAAATTGGTTTATAGTTCAAGAACATCTTCGAAATCTATTCAGCTGTTTTTGAGAATTCTTGCTAACAACACACACACACACACAGGAGTGAAAACATCAAAATATTTTTATTTGAACTTAAATTTATCTACACGCAATTACCTACATGTAATTATGCTTGACTAGGAGTAATTCTAAGAACTTGTGTTATAAATAAGACTTGAAAGATAATTGTAATTAAAGATACGTATTGAAGAGAAGTATATACTCACAAAGAACCATTAACGAACAAATAAAATTGTTTTAAAGTTTTATAAAAAGTTGAAATAATTAGCACACTTTTCTTAGTTTCTTCCAGATAATAACTGTTGATATTATTATCATAACAAGTTTTTGTTATTTTGATAAATTTATTGTGATAGGTAATGTTAGAAATTTCGATAGTTCGTTTGTTAAAAGTGAAAATATTTTCATTTAAGAAACAAAATGATTAGTAAGTTATTTATAACATGTAATTCTAATTCATGATTAGAATTCTGGTGCATTATTTAATTATGAAATTCATGTTTTGTTTTTCGCTTAAAACATGCCACGTATTTCACTTAGTTCGTAAAAGATTTACTTGATTCGTTCCATTGGTTAAAGTCCCCATTGGCACAGCGGTATGTCTGCGGACTTACAACGCTAGACTCCGGGTTTCGATACCCATGGTGAGAAGAGCACCGAAAGCCCATTGTGTAGCTTTGTGCTTAATTACAAACAAACCATTGTTTAAATAAAATAGATCTTTTAGATAATGAATCCAAAACTGCCTCAACCCTGAGAAAGATTCTTTTGAATTGTTAACTTTGTTAAGGTATAAAATAACGAACTAAATAAAACCAATAGTGTAGGATCGTGTTTCTATAATTAATAAGAATGATAATTCAAAGCACATGCAAGAATTTTATACAACTGTTTTCATACTTTACCATTCAGATCAACTTAAATTAGAAAACAGACTGGAATTAAAAAAACAAACATTCACATAGCTTTAGGGTTTAATTAGAAATACAAGTTAAAGGGAATGGTAGTGTATTAATGAAAATAAAATAGATATTTAGCTCATATTTAAGTCTTTTAAACAGTGTATGTTAAAATAATCTAATTCGTAATAAAACTTTTAATTACTTAACTGTTGAATAATTCATGTTCGAAACCGTTTGGTCTTATGAAAATGCTTATTTTCAGAAAATATACAAATTTGATTGCTGCTTGTGAAGAAGAAATATTAAATATTTATCTATGTTCTTATTTGTGAAATAAAACCATGAAACATTTGTCAGACTTAACGCCCCCAGTGGCAAAGCGGTATGTCTGCGGACTTACAACGCTAGAAACCGGGTTTCGATACCCGTGGTGGGCAGAGCACAGATAGCCCATTGTGTAGCTTTGTGCTTAATTCCAAACAAAAACAAACAATCAGACTTAACATTTTGTAACTTTGAGCAAATATTCTTCTAATAAATGAAACAAGAAAACGAATCTCATTAAAAACTTTAAATTTTGTATGTTTGTGTTTGAGTGCTAAGCTACTCAATGGGCTATCTGAATTATGTCTACCAAGGGTACCAAACCTGTTTTTAACATATAAACCCTCAAGCTTGTCGCTGATCCACTGGGGGAATCTAAATCTTCTACAAGGCATAGTCTTAATTAATGAGTAACAAATATACGTTGATCGAATCCCGTACCATCAAACAATAATATTTAAGAAGTTCACTCCGGACTTTGTGGCTTTGGGTGCGTTACAAGAGTGGCAGTCAAATTCCACTATTCGTTCTGTGGGGAGTATCCTGAGATTTGTTGATGGGTGGTGTTGACTAGCTGCCTTCTTTCTATTCTATAACTTAAGAAGAGGAAATCCTCAATAGCCGCGACAGGTATTTTTTTTGACGATACCTATTCTTCCTATCAAATTAACAATTTTTTACTAATCTTGTAACTTTATAAAGTAGTTGACTTCGTACTGTATTTAAGAAAGCTAAAGAAATATTTGTTCAATTTTATTAGCAGACACAAAAATATATTTGAACGTTTTTACAATAAAATATATTATTGACAAATTTTAGTCAAATGAATAACTTTTTGATATTAATTCTAAGAACTTATGACTGAAAGTAAAGAAGAATGTATAACAATTTGTCAAACATACTATATCCAGTACCGATGAGGCCTTTCATCTAATAAAATGATATTAAATAATGATTATAAAAGTCCTGTAAACGAAACGAAAACTCGAGCTGTAGCCTCTCATTAAATAGAAACAAAAGTATTGTGACAATGAAGAAAACCAAAAACCATTAGCAGCTGAATTGTCGTATCATTTAAAATCAGCAAAGTTCTTTATGAAAGTTGGCTAACTGACCCAACACTAGTTTTATCAATGTCTCGAGGAAGAGGATAAAAATTCGCCAAACATATCCGTTTTTGTTCCTTGTCATATTAAGTCGCTAATCGTGTTTACATTTACGAGACTACTACACCTTCAGTATTTGTAATGTATACCAAACACAGCAGATGTTTTCTGTGGTGCATGCTAAATTAGTGCTAAATTCTGGAGGTTTTTTAGAGTTCCCAATTTGGACGGATTACATTATTAGAACACCCGTTTATGTAATTTCTGCTGTATGAGGTTCATCTATGAATTTCAGTGATGACTATGGAGTAAATGACTCGAAGTATCTAGCAATTAAAAATAACAATAGTTACGACAGATGGTCAAATATACTACTAATCATGATAACGGTTGATATACGATCGCCACAACCTTACCACGAGTACGTACTTAAGTTATTTGTTTTGTTGTTAAGCATAAAACTATTTCTGCTCTGCCCACCGCGAGTATCGAGAAGTACATGTTACCCATGAAGTTTCACACTTAATTCAATATTTCATTAATATAAACCAATTCTCTATCACAGTAGTTACACAAACTATTAATGAATTTAAACACAGAGAAGACATGTTTAACATACAGACAAAAAAAACACTCCACAAAATTTTTGACACTATCCCGTATGTAGAATACATTAGTATATCTCTAACAGAAAAAAATGATGGAAAATATTAGCATGTAAATAAACCTTAACATAATGACTAGATTAATATTGATTCCAGAAATTAAATTTAAACACATATTAGGAAAATTATATAACGAAGACATCCTTCCAGGAAACATTTACAAAATACTCTTTAGCAACTGTTCAGCGTTTTACTTGGCGAAAAAGGGCGTAATTTGAGCATATGTTAAATTGTCATGTGCAAGGTTGAGCAAAATGTTATTCATTTGAAGCGTTATGGAAATGTCGAGAGATGCTTTGTAATTCATGCTTACTTTAGGGGATCAGTAATCGTTATATAATTAAGCTTCAGGTGCTGTGAATATGGGGGCGATGGCACATCTTTCAGTTATTCAATCATTTTCCATAGGCTTGTGCCCGCCCCTAAAACCTCCTTCCCGCGTCTACGAACATAATAATAAAAACAATCATAGTTTTTCCCAAGAGAATGCCATCATACAAAAACAAGAACCTGAGATTAATAAAAGAAAAATGAGAAAAGCCTTGTTAATAAAATCCCATAATCAACATCCAAGCACGATTATGTATGTTTTGATCATTATTTCCCTGGACATTTCTAATTTTACTCAGATTTTTCGCAGAACATCTTTCATACGTTTAAATTCATCTAGTTATTTTTTTTTTCAGCTATGAAAATAAATAAATAAAGTATCAATCCACATGTATTAATATATACACGCATAAGTGACCACTATCGATTATCTAATTTAAATACGCTGGTCACTTATTATCTTATTGTTGTATTTGTTTATTTGAATACAAAATCTTTTTTTACCGTTAAAACCTGTGTACTTGAGAAAAATCGCACAAAAAAATCGAAACGTCGTACCTGTATAAAAATTCTTCCTTATTGAAGCTATAATTTGCAAAAAAAAAGTCTTATCACCAGCCTGCAAACTCAGAAAAAAACTACAAAGTTTATATTTTACGTTTCAGCTGCTAATTTAGTGCCATCTTCAGTGAAGTCCTGAAAATAACTATTTCTGAGGTGGTAGTGATTCGATCCGAGTCTTCGTGAAATAAAAGTTAGTAGAATATGCTCTTAACTCGATAACGTAGTTAATTTTAAATCTTGAGAAATAACATAAAACACCCTTTAAAGTATAAAAAACTTGTTTTACATAATTTTTGAAAAAATATTTTGAAACGAGTATTGTGGTTTCATAGTGTTTAGCTGTAAACGCTAAGTGAAGTAGGTCTAGGCCTACTAATTATTCTAGAGCAAACGACTTTGATAGTGTCTGAAAGTTTTATATCAGGAAATAACGTACGAGATAATTTGTTCAAAATCATTTTATTAAGAAGTAGTATATATAAAATAATCAACGATTTTGTAACGAATAAATTAACTTTATTAATTATAATCAGCATTCTTTAGCCTTGCGTTGTTTTATAAATAGTAAATATAGTTGTATACAAATTGTATGTGGTGTTATTTATATTTGGTGATGTGACGAAAACTCAAATATTCTTTCAAATATCCGCCATTATTAGAATTGGTGAAGAGAACAAATTCACAGCTACCTCGCCGTGGTTTCTCACACATCACACTAATTTTGTAGCAAAGTGTCTAAGTTGTAATAAATATTAAAAATACACTAATGCGAAAAAACAAACAACAACATCGTTTCGGAATTGCTTCAAGTTCCATCATCAGCGTTAAAACTTCAAAAAGTTAGTTCACAATGTTGTAGCTATAAAAAAACAACAACAAAAAAAAAACAACGCTATTGAGCGAGTTTTCGTATTCCACCAGAAGCTTAGAACTCTTTATTAAAGGAAGCTTATCCATTTTCAATGATCATCCAACACTAAATAATGTTGTCATTAATTCAATTAATTCCAGGTTCTCAGTGTTTTTATTTGATATATATTGTTATTTAATAATGCAGTGTTTATATTTATATCTAAGCCTTTCTCTATAATGTTTTATCTTAACAATGTTATTTATTAAACGTGTGTATGCCGTACGTTTTACCGTACTTTCCATTATATTGTTACCGTTTAAATCTGTTCTTTCTAACCTTCCAATTGAATACGATAACTCGTTCGATGCTAATATTGTTTTGTTTTGTTTTTTGTTGTTGTTGTTCAAGTATTGTAAACTAACTTTTTTGAGGTTTTAATGCTGATGACGGAATTTGAAGAAATTTCTAAACGTCCGTAATTAAAGATGTTTTTTGTTATTACCATGTTTTAAATATTTATTTGTCTAAGTTGTGGTATGATAACTAAATTTGGGATAAAGAATTCAGTCAAGTTTTTAGTGAACTTTTCTATTTGAAATAGAAAGTTTGACGGAGTATATCATGGAAGTTTATAAAATACAAACATAGTGTTAACTTTTGTTTATTTCGTGCCAGAGCCAGTTTCGCAATTTTGAAATTTAAGCATGAGGTGTAACATTAAATATTTTAATGTATTTCAATAAAGTTTCTCGTTGATTTTTAGAGGACGCTTTAAAATAAACCCACACCGGAATGAAGCAATTAACAAATACTTACTTATCAATTATACACTGTATTGAAAATCTTATAGACTTTCTGAAATAATCTAATAGAATAATACATCAAAATGGGAGGTAACCACAGCCAACTGACAGAGGAAGAGCTGGAGGATTACAAGGTATGGTAATGGTATTTGTACTTAAGGCTTAAATTTCGAACGTTACGTATATTATCTGAATATTTGTTCCAACTAATTGCATCTTCAAATATAAAAAACGATTTAACAACACTGTGTAATATTTATATACAAGTCAGGTAGTTTCAAACATTTCACGAAGCAAAAAATAGTGTTGCGTCAGCAAAGGTCGCGTG